CGCCACGCGCACCGCCCCGTTCCTCCCCGCCGCAGACCATTCGGTCATCCCCTCCCATCGCTCCTCCCCGATTTGCCCGCCAGGGTACCCCTCCCACTCCCACTCAGTCTGGTCCTACCCCTGCGCCCCGTCCGCGCAAGCGCAAATCGATCACCATGAATGACAGTGGTTATTTCTCATCCTTAGAGTCCTCGGCTTTAAGACCTAACAAGGCCGGGCATATCTTGACATCCGACCTGGATATCGAGCCTCCGCGCATCAAGCGTGGCCGTGCCGAAGAAGAGATCGCGCGCATGCGCAGCTCATCCCACGATGTCAGCCCTGGTCAACCCGCAGCTCGCAAGAACCCTAACCCACCAATCGGCTCATCCCCTCTCCGCAGCCAGTATGTGAGCATGCAACCGCCTCCGTTGACGCCCATCATCAAGTTTAAGAAGCCTGCCCGGCCGCCACCATCTGTGTCTCCCAATACCAACCTGCGAAACCATCGCCGAAAGATCCAACAAATGGTTAATTCGCCCATCAAACACCTAGGCCTTTCTGAAGATGCTCTTCCTTGGAGCCCTGCTTTCAATCTTCAGGAAGAGAGTTACACCCCTCACGATCATTTCCATACCTCCTTTGATGTTTTCGCGGATTCTGGATCAGCACAAGTATCCTATGGATCTCCCGAGAAGCGTTCAGTAAAGCGCACACGCACTGGCAGTGGCAATACCGCCCTTTCAGACATCACTTCGGTAAATATCAACAGCCGCCTGGGTATGCCCTCGTTGCCCCGCTCCAAGTCAATGTTCCCTGAGTCGCCGTCCAAGCTCCCAGACATAAGCCGCTTCGGAGATGCTGGCCAGGAAGATTTCTTCTCGTTCCATCTCTTCGACGAGAGTAATGACAGCCCAAGTGACGTCGATGGTGTTGATCTCTTGCAGGGCTTCCAAAAGATTGGAGGCGTGAGCAAAGATGATACTCTGAAGCCCAGAGCATTTCATCGGCCACACATCGGCCACCGCAGCAATACGACCTTGTTTTAAGGCGTCCTCAGTTCACAATTTGTTTGTTCTTTTTTGTTTGTAGGTGAGATCTCTGGGAGATCCTGCCTTGTTGGATTCAGTTTTTGTCGTTGATTCTTGCATTATTCTCCCCACTACCCCCTATTATCCTCCTGCTTGTGTCGCCTCGCAACCTTTGTTTCTTGATTTTTGGATTGTATCCTGGAGTTGGTTCTCAAGTGATGTTTCCAAGGTCTTGTGGGCGGTGTTTTTCTTTGGGAGTTTTTGGGCTGTGCCGATGGAGCCGGTTCTGACATTTCCTCCACTGAGCCCAGGACGGCCTGGTTACGATATTAATGACGATGCTAAGATGTACATGCAAGCGATGGTTTTTATGATTTGGATATCGGGGTTGGGGCTATCTTTATGGGAAACTACTGGAACACACATTGAAGGCGTTATTTGACATAATGTATGTAGTTAGCAATTGAAAGTCATTATTTGTCTGCTTATCAAACTGTTCCATAAGCCATTCAAGCTTTGAAGGGTATCTGACTGACCCGACGAATGGATCTAATGAAGTAAAAAAAGGGATAAACAGAAATGCATAGTACCAAAACGCCCTATCCAATGCCCAGGTGGATGTGTGTGGCTGACAACCCCGATCCACCACTATCTCCCCGGTCAAATTCAAATCCTCCAGTCACCGACAAACTCCCTCTTTTTAATCGCTGCTTCCACAGCCGTTGCAGCCACAGCTGACACACTGAATCGTTTGGTCCTCCTTGAGCTGCGCCTTGGGCACTCGGCAGATACACGTGGAGTTGAAATTCGTCTCTTTCGTTTGAACACAGCGCAGACAACACAACTAGGGAAGTTAGTTAGTCGGCATCCTGAATAAAAGTGCTGCCACGGGTAAAACTAACCTTCTCATAGCCTTGCTTCTTCCACTTGGCAATCAAGTTGGCATCCGCATACTTGTTCTTCAGCAGATAATCATATAACTCCTTCGAGATCGCTTCTTTCTCGTAGTAAAGTTCATAGATGTATCGTGAGCCTGTGAAAGGGGAGGGGCAAAAGTTAGTGAAACCGTATTTCTCGATGTTGCGGGGAGGAACTCGTACGTTGATGACTGATTTGGAAAATAGGCCAGAGGACTTCGTATTTCTTCTTTCCCTCGTGCGATGCGTTTTCCGCATCCTTCATTTTGTTGCTGAATTCCAGCAGGGTATCTTCGAGATCGTCGAATCCGGCGGGAGGCGGTTTGCGATTTCGGGAAGTGCGAATGGGAGGCATGGTGGGGGTTATATTATGGACAAGGATAATAAGATAGATATGCTGCGAGACTCAAAATGATACTGTTCGATCTGACACTGTGGCGACACCGTATTTTCTCTTCAAGGTTAAATGAGTACGAAGGACGCAAGTTGCTATCGATAGGGAAAACTGCGCGTCATTTTTGTGCCTCTCTCCACCGCCTTTGATTTTGAATTGCGGCCTTCCTCCAGCTACCCTCTATTGCCTTGCTGTTATCTCAGTCTCCTCCCATTCCACATCAATTGCTACTCGCATCTCCTAAATCGCCATTATGGAACAACAGCTCGATCTCACCAAGCTCTCCGACAGCGATAAGAAGGAGCTCAACCAGGTCCTCACCAACGAGGCTCAGAAGTCCAACATTCAGCAGAGTAAGTGTCCATCTTTCGATTGCATATGTCAAGGATCTATACTTCATCTATACGATATGGACACCGGCCCTAGCGCTTGATGTCTTTAATGCCTGGAATTAATCCATAGCTAACATCAATCCTTTCCAGCTGTCCACCACCTGAACGAAGTGTGCTGGGAAAAGTGCGTCACCAGCAAGATCACCTCCGGCACCCTCGACAAGTCTGAGGAGTCATGCGCACAGAACTGCGTGGACCGATGGATGGATACCAGTCTGGCCATCCTGTCCAAGCTGGATAACATGCGCGGCGGCCCCGGTCACTAAATGTTCTGTCTTGTGTTCTCGGTTTCTGCTACTGCTTCTGATCGCTGTCGGGATGTGATGCATTTCTATGGGATATGAATTACTGTTCGTGGAGACTGATTGGGTTGGAGCCTATTGTGCTCCGACTTTGCTCCTTGGATGGCGGTTGGACGGTTTTGTTTTGGGGTTTATGGATGGATAGACGGATTGTGGAACCATCACTTGTATACTAGAGTCAATTTATGAACCATGTTGTCTTGTACGATATATTTTGGATTTGTTCTAGGGATGATGTTTGTAGACAAGTGTATCATATCCTTATGCTGTGATGTTGCCATATCCTGGATCATGGGAAGAGTGGTGAGGATATGCAATATTGGCCATGTCACCTTGGGAGGATGATAAAAAGGAGAATGAGTATACATAGCAGACAATATGGGGACTGGGGTACTTGCAAAAACCAACCTTTCACAAAGCAGGTTCGCAGCACTGGCAAGGTCGGATCTTGTCATGATCTACTATGAGACCATTGGGCGATTTGTTCCATCTCTAGTGAATATAGACTATTGATAAAATCTACTATACAGCACACTACGTGGTATGGAACATGTCTTAGCCATTACAGGACCGACAAGTCCGGCGATTCTTCTGGAATCGTGCATTTCACTTTCACAAGTTATGTTCTTTTTGATCATTCAGCCCGGCTGGTATTTTAGCATCACCGCAGTGTAAAACAAAGTTCGCCAAAACCCAAAGAAATCCCTTTTCAAGCATTCCCCGCTTAGACAATGGCCAACTTGGTGGCAGCAATGTCAAGAGCATCGACATCGGGGGTAAGACGGGCGAAAGCCTTCTTGGTTCCGTCAGGGCTGGGAGATATGTTAGCATTCAGTCCACGTATCCGCAATAAAAAGTAGAACATACCGGATAAGAGTGTTGATCTTGACGGTGTCAACATCGTACAGCTTCTTAAGAGCCTGCTTGATCTGGCGCTTGTTGGACTTGACGTTGACAATGAAGACGAGGGTGTTGTTCTCCTCAATCTTCTTCATGGCGCTCTCGGTGTTCAAGGGGTACAGAACAATCTTGTTGAAGTCCAGAGCGGGACCGTGGTTGACGGACACGCGGGGGTACTTGGGGGACCGCGACAGCTGGAGGGTCTTGGGGCGGTGGAAGGTGGCCGAGGTGCGGACCTTGCGGGACTTGTGAAGCTGTTGCCACAACCGCGTTAGCGATAGGCTCCAAAAGGGTTTCTTTGGTCTGCTTCATCTTTTGCTACGTACCGAAGCGCCCTTGGCAACCGCCTTGGCAGCGGCGTTGGCCTTGTTTTTGCCTGTAGAGAATATTCCGTTAGCTTGGTGAACCAGAAAAAAAAATTCCCAAAAATTGACCGTCGATTGCCATTTGTGAATTTGGATATGTGGATGTAGCAGGTTGAGGATTCTGGATTGGAGCCGCAGATTTGAGATCGGTAGGCATATGGTGATGCACTTGGGTGCTGCGATATGTCCTGGTGTTTCCGGCTCTTTGCGTGGTGATCTCCAAATATCGAAATTTTTGAATCCGAATATCTTCCTCCACTTCCACACGACAAATTCACAATTGGCAAGGCGGCGATCGCAATGAGAAGAGCGCATAGTTATTTGAACATACCGGTCTTGTTGTCGGAGGGGGCCATGGCTGTCGTCGGTCGCTGTCGATGATGGATTATCGCAGTGTCAAAAGTCGAACGGATTTGGAGTGTCTTCGCTTAGCGAAAACCCTAGTGCTGTGTGTGGGTCAGGTGACTTGCAATCTGCTGGGTCTTGGTATCTTTTGGTATTTTTCAGTACATCATCTTACGGTACTGTTACTTTTTTGGCCAATCAGAATGAACATCGTATTTGGCTCCCTTTTGATTTTCTTGAACGGCTTTTCTTTGCATGCCAGTGACCTACTCTCTTTATTGTATATTCAGCCCTCAAGGAGACACTCAGAAACAAAACACTCTTGAGATCTGGATCCATCGCTCTAATCTTTCGATTCATTGCAATCATCAAAACATGGCTCCCAAAAAACGATCCAAGAGACCGATGTTATTGTCGCATAGTCGGCCTTCCATTGTCAAGTCCAAGGACGCTGCTCTGTCAGCTAAAGCTACCCGCACTCTGATTCGATCCCATCATCGACTTCTCAAAGTCCGGGCTCAAGCTCTGGCCGCCGGAGATGAAGCCCGAGTCAGCAGCGTTGACGCTCAAATCAAAGCTAATGGCGGTCTCGAAAGTTATCAGATCGCCAGTAAACTAGGCCAGTCGATGGACCGGGGTGGGGACTCCAGCAAAGTCCTCATCGATTGGATCAAGCCACAGCTCAAGCAATGGAACAAGACCATTCCAAAGCTCCGGGTCCTCGAAGTTGGAGCCTTGAGCACTAAAAACGCCTGCTCTACGAATCCAACCTTGGATGTCACCCGGATTGACTTAAATTCTCAAGAGCCGGGGATTCTCAGGCAAGACTTCATGGAACGACCTTTACCTTCCAGTGATGACGAACGTTTCAACATGATCAGTCTGTCATTAGTGCTCAACTATGTTCCCGATGCTACAGGACGTGGCGAAATGCTCAAGAGATGTGTCAAGTTCTTGACTTCCAAATGCCCAATTGAATTCGTTCCCAGTCTCTTTCTGGTACTGCCTATTGCATGCGTGGACAACTCGCGCTACCTCAACGAGGAAAGGCTAGGGGAAATCATGAATTGCCTGGGCTTCCGTCTCACACAAAGCAAGCGGACATCAAAGTTGGTCTTCCATCTATGGGAACACACTGGCACCTACGCACCCAAGGGTTTCAAGAAGGAAGAGTTGAGGTCTGGCAAAACAAGAAACAATTTCGCCGTCATTCTCAATAAGTGATTATTTGCATGCAAAGCACAATGATATTATACTCCATGTGCAATCTTGCAGGTGGAAACTAGTTTGCAGAGAGCATGTCTTGCGGTAGGAAGGCCCATACAGTTCCCACGGCTGCCAATATCGAAGAGATGATGAGCAGAATCCAATCAACGATGTACTCACCTCGACTGATCTCCTTTCCAAAGATCTTGAGATAAAACGCAAGAGGGAAGATGATACAAATCGTGAAGCACAAGAACGATCCCAAGAAAGCCATGATACGGTCGAAAGCCGGGAAGATGACTGCCAAAATGACAATCATAGCCACTACAAAAACGCGGACCATTGCCCGTGAGATCTTTTGTAGCGTCTCCGAGCCATTTTCAGCAGGCACATAGCCGCCTCCGAGTCCACACAGAACTTCAAATGTGGCCACAAGAGGCCGGGCACTTTATCCTTGTTAGCAGTCTCCAAGGACAAATGAAGGCATTGCACTCACTTTAGTGGGACCTTTGTGAGCGGGATGATCGAAATGAAGATCACAATACAGACGGAGATGGACTGTGGGTAGTCGGTGATGGTCAGAACGTTCGCAGTGATTTCGTCGCGGACGCCATTGCCAAACATGAGCCAACCAATGATCGCCATTGAGCAGTCCAGAGTAAACTGTCAAGTCGTTAAAATCGAACTTTATCCTATTCACTCAGTTTTTCTTACTGTAAATATATAAGTCACCGAAAGGCTCTTTCCGTATTTCTGGGGGTGTCTCATATCTCTGTAGATATTAGGGAAGACACCGTGGCCACCCCATGGTGCTTATCAACAAGTTAGTCTTATTATCACTGTCGCTTTTGAGTGTTTACTCACACATAATAAGACCGAAACTCAGAGGGAGGGTAGCCCAGTTCTCGGGGAAGAGGAACGTATTAGCTGGCTGTCGCAAGGAACCCGGTGCATCTGGCTTGATAAGGCCATCGATGCAAATGAGTACCACGACTTCTGAGCGTCAGTTTCTCTATCAGTCCCGTCTCGAAAGAAGACTTACTTGATGTGCACGAAATTATACCCAATATGCTGGTAATACTCAGGAATCGTAGTGGCAGGAAGTTGAGCGGTACAAGGACAACTCCACAGATGATCTTCCATTGGAGGATGCTCAACCCTGGCACCAAGGCATATAAACTGTCTGCGAAGAGCACAACAAGTGCCACGCATGCTCCTAAGAGTTCCAGGCAGAACAGAAAGCTGGTTATCAACCGGGCATGTTGCCCAAAACTGATATAAGCCAGATCAGCATACGTGACAAGGCTCTGGTCGACATCCAAGCACTTAGCCAGGATCTTGGCTGTATAGGAAGTGGTGACTGCCGAGAAGACAAGGAACGCCAATCCCAAAACCCACCCGGCATGCTTCATCGCCAATGGAAGACTCAGCAAGCCGATACCGATCAGCACATTGACCGAGTTAAAGATGGTCTGCGGGACAGTGGATTGCCCAACAATGATATCCTCTTGGGTCCCGTCTTCATGTTGGACATGCTTAACGAGCAATGGGCCTCGATCTAAATCTCCAGACCCATCCACATGCGGATGGGGATGGTGCTCTCGGTGGAATTGAATCGCATGCCTCCGTGTCGACGTGCTCATCCGGGAGGAGACGGTGCCATACGAAGCCGCAAAACTTCTATCAAACGACGAAGCAAGCAGGCCAGCACTAGGCAACGCCCTCTTGGAAGACTCAGGCGCTCGGGAATCCCCATGATCCAGGTCCGAGTCCGAGTCTGTGCGAAGTAATGGCCGGTCCACATCCGAGTGCCGACCCCAGGATGGAGAGCTTCTTGATCCATATTCTTGACCCGTGGCAATGCCAAGATCATCGTCCGAGTACGTAGAGACAAATGATGACCGGCGTGGGATGACTTCTGGGAAGGCCGCGGCTCTCTGCCAAGATCGCGCGAAGTTGTCTATACTGTTGGGACCCCCTGCTTGGCGGACTCGAATTGAGTACGACGGCGACCTGCGAATAATAGTTAGCTGATCTGACTTTTGCTAACGACAGAAGTCACATACCTCTGTCTGCCGCCGAACTCCGATTCGGTAATGGGACTTCCGTGGTCTAGGTGGCCATGATCGTAAGAGCTTGGTGTTGCACCTGGTATCCTTGACGAGCCATGGACTTCACTGCCGTGATCTTCATTTGTTCTTTCGGCCCTTGACATATTGCCCCGTTATCGCGATAATATGCGACCTTAGAGATGGTGTTTCCAAGTTGGTATTTCCCCCAGTGAAGTGCAGGAATGGAAGTCAAGACTGAGAGAAATGAAAAACTCCCCTCACTTATCACATGGAGATAGCTCCTTACGACAGATAAGAGTCTTGGGAGGCGAGAACAAGCCTGTGATATCAAAAAGAGCTTAGCGTAAAAAGGAGCTTCCATTAGTGTGGGGTGCGGATCACAGAAATTTGATAAGCTAGAGATTTTTTTTATGTGACTAATTGAATGAAATCGCGAAGATTGCCTAGATACAGGGCATTTGGAATTAATAAACTTGATAGTAGTATGTATAATATCTCTTCTACGGAGTACTCTTTCTATGTCACACAAGGATGTTACTTTGCAGCTCAATGGAGATTGAATCGGCGTTTCTAGAAACCCCAGTACATAAGATATATATTGTGTTGCATACCTTACAAAGTTTAGAAGTAGTAGATTCGCCTATTGGTATGCTGAAGCATACTGAGCATTTGCAGTATGGAGTATATAGTGCATGAATAGCAGCCAACGGGGGCGACTTGATATAAAAAAAGAAACCATGTACCAGTACCTGACCACCCGGTTGTTGGGCCATAACATGGCAAGTACCAGATACGTCACGGGTAGCCCTGGCTTACCTCAGCGTGGCAGCCGACCCCTCGAGCAAACTTGGTATGTCCAACCCCACGAGGAAATTTGCTGTCGCTTTAGAACGTCATATTCAGTTAAGGTATGTACACTCCATGAATCTATGAGTATTGAAAAAATTAGCATTCATTTTCTGTCCTTTTTTCGCATCTATTAACTAATTATAGGTGTAAAAAAGGCAAGCCTAAATCTTTGTTCGCCGACTGCCGCCCCCATCACTGACCAAGTCTTCAGGCGTCCGCAGGGCCTCCGATATTCTCCCCCTGATCAACTGTCGCCTTCGTCAAGATGAGCGCCCCTCCGCCGAACGAAGCTGAGAAGAATATCGAGATCTGGAAGGTCAAGAAGCTGATCAAGCGTCTTGAATCCGCTCGTGGAAATGGAACCTCCATGATTTCGCTCATTATTCGTGCGCTGCCACCGCCCCCGCCACTTATGGTCGCCTGCTAACATGCCAATTCAGCCCCCAAGGATCAAATTAGCAGAGCAGCCAAGATGTTGGCTGAAGAGTATGTAAGTGAACTATATATTCCCGATCTGTCTGCATCGAACGCCGCCTAATCGCACACTAGGGTACCGCCTCCAACATTAAGTCTCGAGTGAATCGACTCTCCGTCCTGTCGGCCATTACCTCTACCCAGCAGCGTCTGAAGCTCTACAATAAGGTCCCTCCCAATGGACTGGTCGTGTACTGTGGTGAAATTATCACCTCGGAAGGAAAGGAGCGCAAGATTAACATCGATTTCGAACCGTTCAAGCCTATCAACACCTCCCTCTACCTTTGTGACAACAAGTTCCACACTGAAGCTTTGAGTGAACTTCTGGAGGCTGATCAGAAGTTCGGTTTCATTGTCATGGATGGTAACGGTACTCTGTTCGGTACCCTCAGTGGTAACACCCGTGAGATTCTTCAGCGTCTTACCGTTGATTTGCCCAAGAAGCACGTGAGTGTCCCAACTTATAAATGCGATGTTCGTGTGTACTGACCTATACAGGGCCGTGGTGGTCAATCCGCTCTGCGTTTCTCACGTCTCCGTGAGGAAAAGCGTCATAACTACGTGCGCAAGATCGCTGAACTAGCTGTTCAGAACTACATTACCAACGACAAGCCCAACGTTGCCGGTATTGTGTTGGCTGGTTCCGCTGATTTCAAGAACGATCTCAACCAGTCTGATCTGTTCGATGGTCGTTTGCAGTCCAAGGTCATCAAGGTTGTCGATGTTTCCTATGGTGGCGAGAACGGTTTCAACCAGGCCATTGAATTGGCTGGCGAGACCCTGAGCAACGTCAAGTTTGTCCAGGAGAAGAAGCTCATCGGCCAGTACTTCCAGGAGATCAGCCAAGACAGCGGCAAGGTCTGCTACGGTATTGACGACACCCTCAAGGCAATGGAGCTTGGTGCAGCTGAAATCTTGATCGTCCATGAAAACCTGGAGATCACTCGCTGGGTTATGAAGACCGCAGCAGGCTCTGAGGTTATCATTCACACGAACAAGATTCAAGAAGCCAACAAGGACCTCTTCGTGGACAAGGAAACCGGATTGGATATGGAGGTTATCGAATCAGGCTCTTTCCTCGAATGGCTTGCTGAGGCCTACAAGGACTTCGGTGCCAACCTGGAGTTTGTGTCTGATCGATCCGGCGAAGGAAACCAGTTCGTCAAGGGATTCGGTGGTATCGGTGCCATTCTCCGATACAAGGTCAACTTTGAACAGCTTGCCGATCACAGCGATGATGACGAGTTCTACGACGGTATGTTACCCCCGAGTTCTTTGTGTTCATATTGACACTAACTTCTCTACAGATTGACGGTATTGCCCCCTCGCAGAGAGCGAGGATGAACGGCCAGAAGCTCCCGCGGCGAGTCTTTTGACGGCTCGCCCCGTGGATCATGCACGCGGCTCCCGCCATGGAACCAAGGCATCCGTAAAGGATAACCAAAAAAGGCCTGGTCCAAGCTCCGTGAAGCTGCTCAGAGGTGAGGCATCCGAATAGACCATTTTCTGAGGTTTGGGTCTAACGTTTAGATACAGTGTCGTCCAAGCTCCAGTATACGCACGCTGAGGTCACCTCAGTGTCTGAGATGAAGATGAGGTTTAAATTGCAATTTGAAAGGTTGGGTGCGGTTAAGTGCAACATTTGGCCATTCACCGCTGCTTGCACTGCTTACTCTATGTGAGCTGGACGGCGTTGGATTGTTATTATTGCTCGGCCAGTCCTGTCATTTCAGCTCTGAATGGCATTTTCTGGTACTTCGCTCGTTATTTGCTCGTTATTAAAAAGAAAAAAGCACCCGAAAGGGTTGATATAGAAGGTGCTATTTATTGTTCATTGAGTTTTCTGCTTTATCTTGCGGTGTACATTTTGTCTATATCATCGACAGTACGTACATTTTTCTTCCATTTATTCGTATAGTAAACCGAGATATCTTCAATATATGACACGATGCTTTTAGAGCGATTGCAAAATAATCAACGCAATACTCAAAATTAAAAGACCGAAATGAGCCTCCAAGTAGAATCAGTCAGCCGAGTCAAGCATTGCGTGCACTTAGCTGATCTTCCCAGGTCCCCAAGTCCTTACACGTCTCACTGACTTGACGCAAATCATTGAGAGCCTTGTGGACTGCATCTTTGTTCTTATCCGAGGGTGTTCTTCCGCACTCAACGAAAAAGATATATTGCCATGGCTTCTTCAAACTCGGCCTTGTGTTAATGCTCGTAAGGTTCAAGCCATGAGCCTTGAAGATCAACAGCGCATTCGCCAGTGCACCTGGAGAAGAATGATCGATCGTAAAGGCAATCAAAGTTTTGTGCGTAGCTCCGAGGGCAAATTCGCCTTCCGACGTAGGCAGGTTCGGCTGCTCGACTTTGAAATGGGCAGTGGCATCATCAAGGACATTTCTGAAGATCAGGAAGCGCGTAGTATTGTCTGCTCTGTCCTCAATGTTTTCCACGAGAATGTCCGTCCCGTGTTGTTCTGCCGCAAAACGATTGGCAATGGCAGCACCTCGTTCCGTTGTCTCCTTGGAGACAATCTCCGCAGCCTTGGATGTGGAGGCGACATCTTGTCTCTCGACGCCCTTAAGGTACTTGGTCAAAAAAGTTTCACACTGGCCCCAAGCCTGCGGATGTGTGTATAGCTTTGTTATCGAGCCATCGTAGTCTGCCCAACCACCGGGAAATGTGCCCTTGCGCACCATAAGGCAGTGGTGCACTGTCAGGTAATATTCTCCGCACACTTTCACGTCTTTATACAAACCATCCCGGTCTGCTAATAGGTCTAATGTCTGCACTACAGAACCATTGGTTGAGTTCTCGCACGGAATCACAGCGAAGTCGGTCTCTTTCTCTTGGAGCGCGGCGAAGGCATCGGGGAATGAGACTTGAGGTTGTAGATCGGCGGATACTTTGCAAAAGGACTCTGCAGCAGCCTAAAACAAGGATCAATCATCAGGTTGATTCGCCAAGAATGTGGGGTAAAGTTCGTACCTGATGCGAAAAGGACCCCAGTGGCCCTAGGAAGGCGACTCTCAAGGGAGCCATTGTGATTGAACTACAAAGTAGTATTTTCCGCGTCAAACGGTCTGAACCGATTTGAATCAAATCAAATTCTCCAATGACTCGTCATTTCTTTGACAGGCGACATCGGATCTCCGAGCGGTGTGGGCTAAATTGTGCAGTTCCGAAATAGGGAACGAACGACAAACAAACAAATCAAACTCGGGATGAGTATTGCGTCAAGTGAACTTGCGATTCGATATTCATCCAATTCAGTCAGTGTTTTTGCTCATGAAGACAAATTCACTCAGGCCCCTGATCTCTTTGCGAGGTGGGCGTCATGCATGCCGGACTTACTCGTCGCTTTCCGAGCGCTTGCATCATGAACTGACCACAAGGAAACTCCCATTGACTTACGATTATCTACACCCCCAACCATCGCATCTTCTGAACCTCACTCTCCGTGATCTTCTTGCGCACTCTCAGACCTCCTCCGACTATGCGACTTTGCCCTCAATACACAACCCATCCCCACTCCCTGTCGGTCAACACTTGATCTACTTCCCGCCACAGGTGACCTTGTCCCAACTACTCCCAGACGGCACAGATACGTTACACACACCGGGTGACCCATTTAATCGGCGTCTCTGGGCAGGCGGGAATGTAAGATTCCCCGTACGCAGTCCGCTACTGGATGGCAGCCGCGCAGTCTGTATAGAATCCATTCGCAATGTGACAGTCAAGGGCCGCGAGGGGGACGAGAAAGTGATTGTCACTATTGAGCGACGCATTGGAAAAGTTTCCGAACAAGAAACAGCAGATCAAACCTGGAACCGGATATGGAAAGAGAACGAAGATAACGTGGGAGAATCGTCAGTCATTGAGAATCGGGACCTCATCTTCATGCGCCTCAAAACCAGCGCCCAGATCGAGGCCGATAAAGCACAATTTGGAAAGTCAGGTAGGATGGTGAGACGTGAGTATAGTCTTCCAACCATCGAACATTATGACAAAATGTGCTGATGATTTTGAAGCTCCCTCCGGTGCGACGTTCCGCCATGCCCTCATACCTACCAAAGCGCTGTTGTTCCGCTTCTCAGCGCTGACTTTCAATGCTCATTCCATCCACCTTGATAAGAGCTATACTCAGAACCAAGAGGGATACCCGAATCTTTTGGTTCATGGTCCGTTGACGCTCACGCTTCTGTTGAGTGTGCTTCATCAACAGCTGAGTAGATTAAATCTCCGCATCAGTGACATTGAGTATAAGAATCTAGCGCCTCTTTTTGTCGAACAACAGTTGGTGATATGTGGCAAACCTAAGAATGACACTGGGTCTTGGGATGTGTGGATTGAAGGTCCCGATGGAGGATTAGCTGTTCGGGGTACTGCGCGCACGATGTCGGAATAATATACCCAACTCCACCCATTTCCATGCGATATGTTTGTACATTTACGATAGGAAATTTCAATAATATCTCCCTCTGAGTGATACAGACAAATAATCATAATAGCAGCTAGCTCCATAAGTAGGAGAGTCGAAGCATATAGAACAATCCACCCGGACATGCCCCAGTGGATCCGCCCAACATAGTGTACGTAATCATCGGACCTCGGAGAAACTCCACCGAAGCTAGATTTGCACACCTTTTTCTCTCCACCTGTCCTTCTCCTTCTCTCTTCAACCACACAGTAATTTGATTATTTTGTGAGCGGCTGTAATGATTCAAGCCGCGATCAATTAACAATCTAGCATCTGATTCTTTAACAAGATGGATGTCTTCTGGGAGGCTCCCCGGTCATTAGGTATGCAGCTCCCATTCGCCGATCTCAAGCTTTGATTACTGACATGTCACTCAGGACCCTCACAGCCTTAACGCTGGTTCAATCCGCTTTGATGTATGGCGGCTTAGTGAGCTTCTATTGGGCGCCATTTGCGCCGAGCTTGATATTCTCATGGCGTCCGGAGATCTACCGGCTCGTCACTCCATTTCTACTAACCGGACCGAACATGTCCTTTCTCTTTGATCTTTATATCAGTATGATGCCTCGGTATCACATTGACCTGGTCTGATCAGACTGCTAATGTACCAATAGTGTACCGCTATGGCAGCGCTGCGGAGAAGAGCATGGCCCCTGGCGAGTTCCTCATCTATCTCCTCTTTGTAGCTTTTGGCATCATGGTAAGTGACTCAGTAGAGTCTGCAATTTTTCGCTTCTTATCTTTGCCTTCGCGTTCATATCCAATCCCTCGCTATAACTGCCCGACCAGCTTCAAAATCTAGCTGAATTCGGTTCCTGAAGGCGAGGGAGAGCACCCTGCATCTGCGCAACACCATCATAATTCGCAAAATTCAGGTGTTGTGCAGGTGTGGGCATGGTGGGATTTCTTTCGAGCTCACTGGTGTGATTTCATATCGCATCAGTATCGGAGGTGCCCTACATTTCTATATACATCATCTACTCTTTTCCAATACCATCCACATCCTATTATTACTCGTCATCCTGGTAGTCCAACACGTCTCTTCCAACTTTGCTGACTTTATCCAAGCTCACTGCAGGTGGTTATCTGGGAGCGTCTATACTACTGTCACGTAAGCTCGCCGAGCTCGATGGATTCCTCGGACAAACACTGACTTGAATTTAGCATTGATCATGGCTTTCGTGTACACCTACTCCCAGACGAACAGAGGGACGAGGACGAGATTCTGGTTCATCGACATCCCGGTCGTATTCCTGCCATATGCAATGCTTCTTGTCACCATGGTGACGTACGGATGGCATGCTGTGCTGGAAGAATCCATGGGAATTGTCGCTGCCCATACTTATGATTTCCTCACACGCATCTACCCAACCTTCGGTGGTGGAAGAAATTTCATCACTGTTCCCGGTTTCTTGGAGAGGTACTTCACCGAACACGACCCCAATAGCGGATACCGAGGATATGGAACGGCGAGGCGTGCACCAAGACAAGCCGAGCAGCCCTCGTCAGCATCAACATCGGGATCGTCCTGGAGCAGCTGGACCTCTTCGAATACTTGGAACGGCAGGGGCGCTGGCCGGAGACTCGGTTAGATCGAAGGTCACACATGCTCCACGCACTTTTCTGGAGCGCATGGTGGATAAGAATGCAAGTGGCAGACGTTTTGGCGGTTATTCTGTCCATAAGGCGATGTCATAGATAGTGATAATTGACAGGCATTTATTTCTCCACAAACAGAAATTTCTTAAATACCAGTAGTTGGTCATTTTCAATTATCTTTGATTAGATGGATTAGCATATTTTCTCACAAACAATCTAATAATCGCAAAACGTCTCCAGATTGAGAGGCCTCGGAATCGGAGGCGTAAAAAAGTCGAGAACTCCAAGTCACGTGATGACTTCTCCAGGCGCTAAACCACTTCAGGCACTGGAGCTGCCGCACTCGCAAAATTTCCTTCGACAAATTTTCGGGGTTTTCACCGCGCATCCTTCAACGACAACCAACAAAATGGCCGTCGTCAAGACCTCGGAGATGGACTACGCCATCAAGCCTGAAGCGTCCGTTCCTTCCGTTGATACATCGGATTGGCCGCTTCTGCTTAAGAACTATGAGAAGCGTACGCTTGTCCTTAAAACTCCATGCTTGACCAGCCAACATTGACTTTTTTTGTAGTGCTCGTTCGGACCGGTCACTTCACCCCTATCCCTGCTGGCTCCTCTCCTCTGAGCCGTGACTTGAAGTCATATATCAGCTCCGGTGTCATCAACCTTGACAAGCCGTCCAACCCTTCCAGTCACGAAGTCGTGGCTTGGATGAAGCGTATCCTCAGGTAAATCAAACCCCGCCAGACCCCATCAATAGTCTCGTTTTCTTGCTAACAATTTTACCCTCTGTAGATCCGAGAAGACTGGTCACAGTGGTACCCTTGATCCCAAGGTTACCGGTTGTTTGATTGTTTGCATTGACCGTGCCACCCGTCTGGTCAAGTCCCAGCAGGGTGCCGGTAAGGAGTATGTCTGTGTGATCCGTCTCCACGACAAGATTCCCGGCGGCGAGGCCCAGTTCGTCCGCGCTCTTGAGACCTTGACCGGTGCGCTCTTCCAGCGCCCCCTCTGATCTCTGCCGTCAAGCGCCAGCTCCGTATCCGTACCATCCACGAGAGCAAGAACTACGAGTTCGACAATGAGCGCCACCTCGGTGTCTTCTGGGTCAGCTGTGAGGCTGGTACCTACATCCGTACCCTCTGTGTCCACCTTGGTCTTCTCCTCGGTGTCGGTGCCCACATGCAGGAACTTCGCCGTGTTCGCTCTGGAGCCATGGCTGAGGGCCCCGGTATGGTCACTCTGCACGATGTTATGGACGCCCAGTGGGTCTACGACAACAACCGCGACGAGTCTTACCTCCGCAAGGTCATCAGCCCCCTGGAGTCCCTGCTCACTGGTTACAAGCGTATTGTCGTCAAGGACAGCGCTGTCAACGCCGTCTGCTACGGTGCCAAGCTCATGATTCCCGGTCTTCTCCGTTATGGTATGTTTATAGCTTTTCGTCTGAGTTTCCTTCTAAACAATCACTGACTTCTTTTCCCAGAGGCCGGCATTGAGTGCCACGAGGAGGTTGTCCTCATGACCACCAAGGGTGAGGCTATCGCCATTGGTATCGCTCAGATGTCCACTGTCGAGCTCACCACCTGCGACCACGGCGTTGTTGCTAAGGTCAAGCGTTGCATCATGGAGCGTGACCTCTACCCCCGCCGCTGGGGATTGGGACCCACTGCCCTTGAGAAGAAGAAGATGAAGACTGCTGGAACTCTCGATGTAAGTGTCCAAAAACCACTTTCGCTTTCATATAACGTACTGACTTTGCGCTCAGAAATACGGCCGCACCAACGAGGCTACCCCCGCTGCATGGAAGAACGAGTACAAGGACTTCAACCTTCCTCTCACCGGAACCGCTGCTGTTGCCCCCGCGGCCGAGACTAAGACCGAGACCGAGACCCCCAAGGCTGACTCCCCGAGCCCGTGAAGGAGGAGGTCGAGGATAAGAAGCGCAAGCGTGACGGCGAGACAGCCGAGGAGAAGGCCGAGCGCAAGAAGAAGAAGAAGGAGAAGAAGGAGAAGAAGGAGCGCCGGAAGTCCAAGCAGGATGATAGCGATGACAGCGACTAGATGCACTCCAGGAAGACCGTCAGGTTTTTTTCCTGTACCATATTTTGCTATTTCCGGAGTATTGGGTCAAAAGGGAAATTTGTTCTATTCCAGAGTTTCATATTGAAGGCTGCCTATCTGTTGAATCTACCATTCTTTTAAATCTGAGTAACGTCGGCAAGTGTATATCACGTATATATATATAGTACTTTTTACTTGGTCTAGATGGAGTTGGTATGTATCCTACCTACATGTCTATATATTTCCACCTCTATTTGCAGTGTTCTAAACTAGCCCCATCGTCCCTTCCCTCTTTCCTCTTGATACTTGGTATTCTAACACTCTTATATGTTAACAGGCCCCGTGGGGCCCGGCCTAGTCGGGCTCATTGCCCTCTGACATTCTAAATATGGATCTTAGATGTCCAACCTTTCCTGCTGAGATAGCATAGATCACTTCCACATCTCTGATCATGATTGGCGATGTCATCATATTCACATTTCCTGAAAGTTTGATAGATTTTTCCGAGGCCCAAATAAAATTGTCCAATCGAAATGCAATGGCGTCAACTTTTCCACCTCGAAACATTCCCACCCTCGGTGGCTCGGAGGCTCGCAATCTCGGGATCTTGGGAACGAGACTGCACTGTATACTAACTGGGCAAGATGCACTATTATCATAAACAAACTAATCTAAGTTTCTCTCGAGCCGAGCTAACCGGCTAATCATATAAAATGCTCTGACGAACAAAACAGACCTGCATTGTTGAGATATATTTTTTCTTACATCCCTTCCAAGTAATCAAATACATTGATCATGGTCTCTACTGAGCCCCATCTCAACTTTCGCTCTTTCGTCGAAGCCCTCAAGGCCGACAACGACTTAGTCGAAATCAATACTCCCATCGATGCCAATCTCGAGGCTGCGGCTATCACCCGTCGTGTCTGTGAGACAGACGATAAAGCCCCCCTCTTCAACAACATCATTGGCTCCCAGCATGGTCTCTTCCGTATCCTCGGTGCCCCGGCCTCGCTGAGGAAATCCTCTAAAGACCGCTATGGCAGGTTGGCACGTCATCTAGCTCTCCCACCCACTGCGTCTATGCGTGATATCCTCGACAAGATGCTCTCCGCTAGCACGATGGCTCCTATCCCCCTCAAGTCTTGGAGACAGGTCCTTGCAAGGAGAACTTCCTTGAAGGCGACCAGATTGATCTGACAAAGATCCCTGCACCTATGATTCACCAGCATGATGGTGGAAAGTATATTCAGACGTATGGTATGCATATCGTCCAATCGCCCGATGGATCGTGGACGAATTGGTCCATTGCACGTGCCATGGTCTCTGATGAGCGACATCTTGCCGGCCTTGTGATTGAACCTCAGCACCTCTGGCAAATTCACCAGATGTGGAAGAAAGAAGGTCGTGATGTTCCTTGGGCTCTGGCTTTCGGTGTTCCACCTGCTGCCATCATGGCTTCTAGTATGCCCATCCCGGATGGTGTCAGTGAGGCTGAATACGTTGGTGCGATGACTGGATCTGCCCTCGAGCTCGTCAAATGTGATACAAATAACCTGCTCGTTCCGGCAACCTCAGAAATTGTCTTCGAGGGTACCCTCTCGATCACTGATCAGGCTCCTGAAGGACCATTCGGCGAGATGCATGGATATGTCTTCCCTGGCGATACGCATCCTTGGCCTAAATATACAGTCAACAAGATCACCTACCGCAATGATCCCATCATGCCCATGTCTGCTTGCGGTCGCCTGACAGATGAAACGGTAAGCCCACCCCTTTCCCTCACAAATCATTATCCTAACATCTCTAGCACACACTGATCGGCTCCCTCGCCGCCGCTGAAATTCGCAAGCTCTGCCAACAGAACAATCTCCCTGTCACAGACGCCTTTACCCCCTTCGAGTCCCAAGTCACCTGGGCAGCCCTTCGTATCGATACAGCCCGTCTCCGCGAAATGAAAACCACCTCCGTCGAGCTGAGAAAGCAAGTCGGTGATTTGGTCTTCAACAACAAACCAGGCTATACCATCCACCGAATCGTCCTTTGCGGTGATGATATCGACGTTTACAACGGGAAGGATGTGATGTGGGCTTTCTCAACCAGATGCCGACCCAGCTCCGATGAGACCTTCTTTGAGGATGTTCGCGGTTTCCCGCTCATTCCGTATATGAGTCATGGTGCTTTTTCTCCGAATCGTGGTGGAAAGGTTGTATCAGATGCCCTTCTGCCTTGTGAGTATACGACTGGTAGGGATTGGGTATCTGCGGACTTTGAGCAGTCTTATCCTGAGGAGTTGAAGAAGAAGGTCCTGGATAATTGGACTCAGATGGGATTCCGTGAAGAGTGAGTACGGTCCATTTGGAATCGTTTTCGGGTATAGATAGTTGAATTTTTTCCCACTAGTCAATGTGATTCTGTTCTAGGAGAGACACGAGACTAGCCTCAGAAATGTGGGTTGAGAATTACTGTTAGTTCTTGGTGAACTGCCTATCACTCATTCATTCATTTCATCATGTTTTGATCCCCAAATTGAATCAGTAGCAACGTAGTGGACTCTGCGTAGAGAGAACGCAACTTGGCAGAATAAGTCACATTACTGTAAAGCACAATTCTTTCTTCTCCCAATGATATTTAGTTAGTTTTTTTTACTTGTTTGATATCAAGGAAAGATTATGCTCGTTGCTTGGACGTCCAGAGGTTTCACATAAAACATGATATGCATATGGATCATGCCAACCCATATAATTGAACCATTGCTTCATTCCTGCCTATATATTTTAACCTATATGCTTTAGTTTATAAACAAGGGCAGTTTCACTGCAATATCAGTTCTAGTACTATATAAGCCGCTACACCATACTAGAAAGCCTAGGGAGACAAAACGGGTTAAGACGTTAGTGAAAGTCCTCTATTAATCACTTTCTTATCTAGCCGTATAGGTCTGCTCAAGTAACTGTCATTAACAAACATCTCTATCGATACTATAAAGATAAAGAAGGCTGATTTTCAGGCCAGCACCTATTGACTAGGTGAGTACCGAATGATGAAGAGAGAAAAGGTATATGATCATTCGCACAGAGACTGATACTTAGTAAGAGGAAGTCCTAAGAAACGATCGACACTTTAGGGTCTGGCTCTAGAGCGCCCGGGCCTCCGGGGCAGAAGCAGCCCCGGTTGTGTCTGAGTAACATGATACCGACCATCCGGCAAAAAGTTATATCCGCCAACTTCCACCCCCGCCATATTACTTTATGTGATTGAATGGCTCAGTAAAAGACTAGACTGATCTACTGAGCTAGCGTGTCTGCAAAAATCTCACAATTTCGGAAAATCGGCCTCTCGGCTTGCTCGGCAGAATGAACCCGCCAAGCCACGATGAAGTCGACCGAGTGCTCCGGCTCAAGCGCAAAGAACGCGAAGTAAGAGCATGCTATCCATGTCGAAAAAGGAAAGTCAAATGTGACGGGACTCAGCCCTGTGGCACCTGCCAGAAGCGAAATCACCCGCATATCTGCACATATGTTCCGATCCGAGATCCGAGGAGGGAGCCTCAACAAGCTACTGCCTCTGCATCACCAAGTCCAGCACGCCGATCAACTCGAAGAACTGAGGCTGATTTTAGCCCGTCGGCTTCTACCCTTCGACCAGATGATGCAGCGAAGAACTATGTCTACTCCGGAGATAACTCAGTCGTCTCGATATTGCGCTCAAGGGCATCGGATGGGAATGAATCTATGACTCGTGACCTGGGGTCGGTCCTGGGTCTTCAAAACACTTTGAACACTTACCCATTCATGGACCTGAAGACCCCACAGGAGCGATGGAGTTCCCTGCTCAGTGTTTTGCCCCAGAGAAATGAAGTGTTGAAGTATGTCCCTGCTAGCCTGACGAAAGATGCCTGCTGATGTTGTGAGATTCTTCCACTACTACCGAGTCACAGCATATCCATTCAATCCTATTATAGCTGATATGAATCGCTTCGAGTTGGATCTTTGCACGTATCTAAACGCATACTCCGCGGGGAACTGCGTGAGCATGACAAAATCTCTGATCGCTGGGTGACAGACAAGTCAATTGGTCACATTAGTCTCCTACTAGCAGCTTTGGCTGCTGGTGCTCATTACTCAGACATCGAGTACCCCCAGCGATTGGAGTTGGTAACTGATTTCGGTAGGTCCCCATCTTTATTACTTCTCATACTTCTTGTTGACAGTCACAGTTCGTCGATCATTCCATGCCCTCCGTCTAGCCAATTTTCTCTTCCGACCATCTCTCGATACCATCCAAGCACTTCTCATAATTGGCAACACCCTGCAGAATTTGGGTCAATCAGACGCGGCTTGGGCGCTGTTAGGCACGACCGTTCGGCTTGCTCAAACGATGGGGTTGCACACAGAGCGAAGTAATGTTAATTGGCCGGAGTATGTGCGAGCTAAAGCAAAAACAATTTGGTGAGCAATGGCTTTGTCGTGATGCCCGTATATTACTAAAGTCAACTAGGTCCACTATAGTATGGCAAGATAGCTTGTTGTCGATGAGCTACGATCGCCCGCCAATCGTTACAGTAACTGGATGGTCCGTCGACCCTAGCACCTTACAGAAAGACAACCTGTCATATCTTCAGGTCATGCATTCCCTATGTCACCTCGGTATAGATATCATGCGGCCAGAATCTTCTAGCACCAATGAGTTTGACCGAGGAATCGAAGCACTACAGCGGTTGGACACATTATATCAAGGCGGACAACCCCATCTACAGATACGAAGCAATTGCACAACCTTGCAGGAGCATCTTGAGCACCTAGCACTTAGAATGCATTCGTCTTTTTGCGTGTCCGTGGTATGCCGCCCGGCAATGAAACAGTCCCAGCCGCAGCCACAGCTCCTTCAGGCCAATATTCTACGGAACCGGGCAAAGGGAAGTCTGATTGAAGCTTCTCGGGCATTTCTCGATTTTCAGGCCCTGAGCGTGGTACCATTGCGTAGCTGGTCGATGGTGCATACTGTCTTGAGCTCAACTCTGCTTCTCTGTATGTGGGAAGAAACTCGAAATGATCCTGAATGTCGGGATCTACAGCAGCGTGTCATTGATGTGTTCACTTCATCGAACTCCCGAACAATAGAGGAAGGTGCAGAGAATGATATTCAGTGGCTATCTGCGAGACATATTCGTGCTTTGGTTACCCTTCGTGGTGCTTTAGACCGACAGCAAGATGTCAGTGTTCCTGAGAACGAGACCTGGGCGGGGCCTGGTCTCAATCCTGGTCTCTTCGGTTCGGGGTGTGTATCAATGTGCTTTCATAGTGGTTTCCACTAACGTCTCTAGTATACCCGATGCATTTTTCGACATTGCAAACCCAATTGACAACTCGCCTGTATCTTATCTTGATTCGATCATGAATGGTAAGCTCTTATGGTGAGTTTTTCTGTGAATACCAGTTGACGTTATCCGTGCAGATCCGATGTTCGACTTTACCCAAGAAAATGGCTTTCTATGACATTCAGGCGTTGTAAATTGAATTATTACTACAACATAATATAGATCAGGATGAACTACCCTGCTGCTTTGATACATCCGTAGAAGCTAAATGTCAAAATTCTCTTTCTATGAGCAAATAGAATCAAGTTGAACGAATTGAGAGATGTTACGGAGGCCTTGTCTACCTAGTCCGAAATAAAAAAAGAGAAAGAAAACTAATGTTTAGTCTTTGGAAAGGAGAGACCTAGTTATATTTGGGAGAAGCAAAGTAGGCATGTACAATACACAAAGAGGTACCTGTAGATTGTATAGTACAAGCAAATCATAGTGAGTTGATGTTGAACAGTATAACAAGTTTTAATAAGAAAACCCTCGTAGAGACTACTTTGCAGATTATACCCATAAATCTCAAGTGGCACTCAGTGTCTCGGCGACCTTGGAAGTTCGGATGCTCGGAGCCTCGGAGTGGATAATCTGTATACTGAGCTTGCGCCTTTCATAACTGCTACAAGTCCACCGGAAGTCGGCTTATCAATTCCTGAATATTGTGGATATCAAGAAAAGGTTCTTCTCATGATTTGAGTATAAATGGTCGTTGATACTGACCTGAAATGACATTTGCATTAGACTTGATCTTCACATATAACCACAACCACAACCACAACTTGAGTCAACTCTACTTCCTTAACTTCGACCCGAATGCTTTCCCTCCTTTCCAGTACTCACACGCCTTCATCTATTCGCGCCTCACCCGGTGGCAGTCCACCCGAAGCAACAACCCCTATGGAAACCCAATATACCCAACATGCCCCTAGGCCCCCGCCACGCAAGCGCATCGTCGTAGCCATGACTGGTGCCACAGGCGCAATCCTCGGCATCAAGGCCCTCATCGCTCTTCGTCGTCTCAATATCGAAACCCACCTGGTCATGAGCAAGTGGGCCGAGGCCACAATCAAATATGAAACGGATTACCATCCTTCCAACGTCAAGGCGCTCGCCGACCATGTTCATAATATCAACGATATGGCTGCGCCTATATCGAGTGGCTCGTTTAAAGCTGACGGTATGATCGTCGTGCCGTGCAGTATGAAGACTCTCGCCGCTATTCATAGTGGCTTTTGTGATGATTTGATATCACGGAGTGCCGACGTCATGCTCAAAGAGCGCAGAAAATTGGTTCTTGTTGCCAGAGAGACTCCGTTGAGTGAGATTCATTTGAGGAATATGCTTGAGGTCTCGCGCGCTGGTGCGGTAATCTTCCCGCCTGTACCAGCGTATTACATCCGCGCTGCGTCGGTGGACGATTTGGTTGATCAGAGTGTCGGGCGAATGTTGGATTTGTTTGATTTGGATACGGGAGACTTTGCTCGATGGGAGGGTTGGGAGAAATGAAGACCTCCATGTGAAGCAACGGGGTCCTTGATTTGTGCATTGTTATGGCGTTTTTCGGAGTTGGATGGTTATATTTTCCTCATAGAGAAGGGGAAAAGGGATCTGGATAAAAACTAGATTATAAGCTCACAAATGTACTTCCATGTCTACTAGACTTGCAGCCGAATGTTTATATGTGGAGAACAATGTATACTCATGAAGTGACCATGAAGCCCATGCCTCAGACAGCTACAACCGCTGAATAGCAAGGTCAATGAATGCCCCTATACATTTGCTAGGTAGAGGCAGAACAACTACCTAGACCTCCACAAAGCCCAACCATCAGTGGGCTATGGGCCTAACCTTCAAGGCTCAACCCAACCCAGAGCCCACCAATGGGGCCCAAGCAAGCCCCCATCAAAGCTCACTCTTACGCATAACTACGGTCTTAACACATGTAAAATGCCTGATCAAGAACTGTTTTTTTTTCTTTCTTTTTTTTTTAACGTGCATATCAGCGTATGTATGCTAGGGATCTCACAATTATACCGTCCTCCTCCATTCAACATAATGCTCAAGGCCAGAAAAGTTAGATCCTAAAAGAGTGCGGAATTCCTCAACGGCACCTTTTTGCTTCAGTTGTAGCTTCAACTGCGTTGGCCACTCTTCGACGATGGTATTGCGTTTTTTGAAATCAACCTTCAAGTCGGCGGCGACTCTAGTGAATTTGTGAACCTGCATGTACCTGTCAATTTGTCAGATGTGATCGATACGAACAATATCCAATGTAACCCATTCAGGTCAGTTATCAACTTACTTCTGGAAGTGTTTTCTGACATCCATTGCCAAAGCTCGGGAATCCCATAGTCTCATCATATCCGCGCCTTGTGGCTTTGCAAGTGAAAGCCAGTCCGGTCTGGGTAAATATTCCAGAAGCAGATTCATATTTGATATGGAATCCTTTTCGCCATTCGCTTTCGCAATCTCCATCACTGCATTGAGAAACAATGTGATGAGCGTGGCATTTGGATTCCTCTCGGGTGGCTGTAGAAGCGGTGCCAATGCTGTAAGTGTCGCCCGTATCCCGAGGTAGCCAGCATCGCAAATGTTGGAAACCTTTAAGGTAGTTAGCGTGGAGAGTAAAGAGCTGTCATTGATTGGTAGTCACCTCAATCCGCGTATAATGGTCCTTCGCAAGATGCAGCGGAAGCTCTTTTGCGTCGATGTTGACCATTTCAAAATCGACATTCAGAATAGTAAGTCGGTCGAGAAACTTCTTCACCACCTTTCGGAGGTGCACAAAGAGCTTGCCATACACATCCATAGCTGCACTGGTCTTTGTACCATACACTTCCTGGATAGACCATCCTGTTAAGGGATCTGCCTTGTCGTCCATCGGCCAGGTCGCTTCATCATAAAATAGGGTTCTGCTAAGTGGTTAGCAAAACCCCCTTGATAGCGGGTGAGACATACGGGTTTGGAATATGAAATCCTCTTCGGGAGTGCCCAAACGGCAAAAGTAAACCATCCTCCCGAAAACGTTGCCTTGCAACACGCACTGAAGGTGATAGCTCTTTGAAATGCCATCTTTCCAGATAGTCCTTTCGTTGAGGGGCGAGAGTGACCGAGATACGAGCAGCCCTAGCTTTTTCGTATGTTAGTGTCTCGGGAACTCCACAGAAGTCTTTGACCCTAAGCCAATCCTCTCGCCTGAGTTCAACACGCAAACTTTTCTGGGATGCGAAATGCCAGGTTTTGCTCATCAACGCGCCAGGCTGTAAATTGGAAGCTTCGTCGCAAGCATCGCCAATGAGGGGTCTAACTGTCTTTTGTAAATGGGCAAGTACTCTTTCTGGGATGAAAGAGGAATACCAGAGATGAATCAAAGCTTCGGAGATATCCTGGACATTGCCTGCCTCGGATGAAGCTGTATCACTCGCGCTGAGCGCTAGAAGAAGCAAGATAACGTTCCTCACAACGACCACATTATCTCGGTCATTGATTGACACATGAAGCTTTTGTTCAAACGAATCGGGGAGGTCTGCGATAGTTTTCACTACGTTTCGCAAGTCTCCCGAGGCTAGGAATCTTGCGTTAAGGTCAGGCCTTGAACAGACATCAAAAGACTAACCAGCAAATAAGAGCGCAATGTCCTTTGGATAACGAGGTCCCTCATTTTTTTCCAGTTGCAGGACGTCTATGGCTGGTGCGTTTCCCCATAGATACTTTGAATCCCCAAAGGGATTATGGAAATAATTTGCGGCCGTGGCCCATGCAGGTTCACGGGCTTCGCAGTCCCATGCAGGACGCCAGTCCGCTTTGTTCAATGGAGACTTGCAGATTGTTTTGTGCATTGGCCAATGGCGTTTCTGGCAGTCTTTTCCACAGTACTAAGCCAATTTAGAATCAAGTGGTATTGGGAGGTAGAGACGAGTAATGGACTGACAGCAACGAGTTTGCAAGCACTGCAGGCAGACTTGGCTTCATTTTCACACACTGAAGTATCCGACGTCGAATTTGCGCAAGGCAAAATGTTTGGTGTGCTATCGCTCATTGTCAGACTATGCTCAGGTATGGATAATCAGGGACAAGAAAATGAAAGTGAGGTGGATGCTTGAATCTCGAAGATATTTGCCGTTATGTCTGTGGACGCTGGGGTTGCGCGTCTTATAACTAGGTGCTGTGTCGGACTGTCAGGTAGCAGCTTCCAACTCTGCCCTAGCGCGACAGCTCGAGAAGGGAGCAAGAGATAGAACAGCGCGTAATGATAAAGATAGTAATAGTTGGGTGTAGGCTCATATCTTGGCATGGAGCGTGGATGAAGCCTGGTGCCCAATGATTTTGATAATCCCACTACGGAGCACTTCTGGCCCAATGACTATTTATGGAATCTATGCTACACGGAGCTGACTAGATATCAGTGTGGTTCTTTAAGCGCCGGGCACGATTGGCATACGATCTACGGAATACTTAGCGCCTAATAGGTATCTACAGTTACATCGTAAGATATGAAAAAGCCTAGGGTATTGACCTAGATACATTTAAGTCTATATCTTTACTTATAAGCTAATACTAGTACACTTTGAAAAGACCTCTTTTTGTGTCTACTTTCCTAGGCTTTTAGCGCTGTCGAACTACCCGGCTTATATTGGGACTGAGCTTACTTCGTCGCTTGTATTACAGCGGGGGTTTCAGGAGTCTCCACGCCCCAATCCGTATCTGAAAAGGAAAGCCGCAAAATGCAAAATAACTCGGAATTCTTTATGTTTTCGTCATGATCTCCCAAGTATCCTAAGTTCACTATCTAGGTTGACGAAAGAAGTAGAGAGGAAGAGAGAAGAGAGAGGGGAGAAGGTAGGTACAAGTTCTATTTTTGGCATTTTGCCAATACACAACCCTCCATGGAGAAGAATTAGACTGCATGTATGCTTAATATTCTCAGACTGCATCAGGCATTTGGTGCTTTGATTATTTGAGCATAACGCGGCAAGCACTAACACGGATGGGAAGATATCTTCGTATACAATGTAATTGAATCGATCTGGGAACTTTTTCAAGGTAATAGTCCATTATATACTGTCATTTCTGCACCTTGGCCCTTGGTAAATATCTGTGCAACTTTTAGTACTATGTTACGGAGTATGTAGTATATAGTGTGATATCACCGCAAATGGAGGCGGTCAATGGGTTGTCCTCGGTGTGGATCTCGTGATTGTTCTCTCCGCATTTCCCCCTCAACTTCATGACTGCTCTGTAATCCTCGACTCTCCTTCGGACTTGGACCCAAGATCAAAAAGTGACTTGAGGATCATCATGGCAGAACTGACATCCACCAAGCTCAACCCAGAGAGTCATATCATCCTGGTAATCATTACTCCGCACATCTATATTAAAGACCCTAACCAAGGTGTTTCCACAGGACCAACCCCTCCTTCGATTACCGCATGAACTGGCCCGCAAGAATTTTAAAACGGTACAACGAGCCGTCGAGCGAGAGAAGGAATATGTCATCCCCACCCTTAAAGAGACCGCCGCCGCCTCACGCTCCGACGCCCAAACGCCCGAACAGACACTCGCTGCACTTGACGCAATGATATCCAGAATGCAAGGTCTGAAACGGAAAATGGAAAGTCTGCAGGAGGAGGAGAAAAAAATCCACAATCAATCACGCAAGCGCATTCAGCATTTGGAGGCCTTGCACAAGATCCCGAGCCTAGCCGATGTCAAGTATGACCAGTGGTCAAGGGTCCGGCTGGATCGTTTGCTCGTCGATCACATGCTGCGCTCGGGTTACTCGGAAAGTGCAAAACAGCTGGCACAGGATAGGGGCGTGGAAGATCTCGTGGATCTTGGAGTGTTCACGCAATGCCAACGGGTTGTGGAGAGCTTGCGGCGCGGGGAAACCAAGGAGGCGTTGCAGTGGTGTGGAGAGAATAAGGCCGCGCTGAAGAAGAGTCAGGTAAGGTGGAATGGCTCCTGCTGTCTTGACTTTGAGCTAACTCACCGCCTATGAAGCACAATCTTGAATTTGAACTCCGGCTGCAGCAATATATCGAGATGGTCAGGACACAAGACAAGTCTAAAAAGGTTGAGGCGATAATTCATGCAAAGAAATACCTCATACCCAACCATCAATCTCAGAATTCGGAGATTATGCGTGCTGCGGGGTTACTGGTTTTCACACAGGACACAAGAGCTGAGCCCTACAAAGTAAGACAAACATTCACACTTGATTAGTAGTATTTTTTACTGATACAGTACAGACCCTCTTCTCACTAGACCGCTGGAGGTATCTTTCCCAGCTTTTTATTCAGACTCACCATGAGCTGCTTTCATTGCCGTCTCAACCATTATTACATATTGCCCTATCTGCAGGACTTTCAGCTCTCAAAACACCTCTATGCCATTCGGCATACACATCATCCAGCTCAAATTCACAGTCAACGTCGACCTCTGTGTGTCCTATATGCTCAACTGAACTGAACGATCTTGCGCGCAAAATGCCTTATGCCCACCACTCAAAGAGTTACGTGGAAAGCGACCCAATAGTTCTACCCAACGGTCGAATCTACGGGAAGCAAAGGCTGATAGAGATCAGTCGGAAGATGGGATCAGTGGAATCAGGCAATGTCAAAGACCCAACAACAGGAGAGGTATTCCACGAGGACGAGATGAAGAAAGTGTACATTATGTGAACTCGGCTAGGCATTTTCCAATGATGGAATGAGATTCAACTCAATTTGTACAGTTTTATGAAACATAATAGTATATACCCCACCCCTACTCGCTATCATCACTAGAATCATCATCTCTGGCCCTCTTCTTCCCTCCCTTCTTAGCCTGCTGCTTCTGCTTCACTTCAAAGACATACATCCGAGCCTCCCGATCCTCTCCCCTCCATCCTCCACGTTCCCCATCTTTCCCCTCAATATGCCCCGCTGTTCTCGCATGCGAATATCCCTCATAAGAAGTCCAAGGAAACCGGAAACTAGTCACAACAACCAGTCCCGCATGTCTCGCCAAATCCTTGATATTCCAAAGCGTATACGGCTCCCCCTCGAACAGAGTCACAAGAATCTGACCAGGTCCAGTCCGGAATCCCTTCCCGGTAGTATCATCATCTTTCCCCAGCTCTTCACCCTCTGCCACGTCCTCGTCATCATCCTCATCCTCCTCTTCACTCTCCTCCCCATCCGCATACACCCACTCATCGTCATCAGCATCCATAAGCGGCGGCGGCTTAGAAACAAGCGGTATACACGCTTTGAAGAAAGCGACCAATAGCTCCTGATTTGAACGAACCTGTCGGTTCACGTCCGTAGACAGCCCGCCAACGTGCGGGAAATTGAAGCAGATTACATCCCACGGCCCGCCAGGTTGATACGGCGGTCCTACTGGTTCGCTCTGTTGGTACCAAGCTGGTCTCTTGCGTTCGCGGCGTGTGAATCCTGTGCGGATTTCCTTGCCGCCACCAGCTGGAGTGCCGAGTTTGCGTGCGTCCACGGAGAAGACGACTTTGGGGATTTGCTGGTTGGGGTTGGGGTTGGTTGATGCCTGAGTTTCGGATTTGCTCTCTTCTGGTTGCTTTTCAGCGTCATTGCCTGAGTCCTTATCTTCGGAATTGCTCTTTTCTTCGGCGTTGCTCTCTTCTTCCTGCTTTTTGGTCTCGGCGCTTTCTGATTCTGCCTTTGCTGACGCGCCGATGATATCTGAGACATTCTGAGGAGCTTGCGGGTACTTGTTGTACAGGGTCTCCTTGGAGTCGTAGCATGTGGCGCATAGTTTGCGACACTTATATTGTTTCACCAGTGAGCGGGCAAATGAGAAGTCACCTGGTAGATGTTAGAACTCATGCTTCCCGAATATAGTAGATAATCCGTTGAAGCGTGCTGATTGTTCTGATACAGGAATGCATATTGGTTTCAAATTCGTATATCGATGTAAAATCACAGGTCTGGGCATGGATAACACGAGAAATACTATGCATAGAAATTGACTCCAATGTAATTCTTGCATATATTGAAGAACGCAGAGTAATGATGTCAACTAAACAGAAAAGCTCACCTTCACCAACTAAGAGAATTCGATCCTTCCTCAAAAACGGCACGATGGGTCTTTGATTTGCCTGCAAAGAGATTTTCTTCGGTGCATTACCATTGCCACTACCCTGCTTTTGCCCATTGCCATGCTGGTGTCCCTTAGCAGGGTTGGAAGATGAACCAGATGGTTTGCCTGGTCCGCGAGCGCGCGGCGGAGGGACGTTTTTGACCTTTTTATTATTGCGAGGCATGACTGAGGGCGAAGAGAAAATGAGTTTCTTTCAAAAGGAAAGTTGTATGAAACATATACGGAGCTACGGCCTATGTTTGCGGCCGGAAGATGAAGCGGAAGAAAATCGGACCGGATAATCAAAGAACCGAAGTATAAGTCTTCGGCTTCCCTTTAACCTCTCTACCTTTCTTGAAGTTACTTCCTTGACTTAATTCCGGCCTAGCCCATGACCAAAGTCGTAAAGGCAAACTGATTAGAGACCATAGGCGAGTGAAAAATCTGCAGGATAACATTGCCGCGATCTTAGTCATCTCAACGGTCCTATTCCCTAGGGTCGAATTATTCAAAACATCATCCTAGTGTCTCAGCGTGCAACATTACCAGTGCCTCTGTCCTTCGGGGTCCAGTTAATGAAGTCAGTTATGGACGAAGAGGTCTCGACTGGCCCATATTAGTATACTTTTAGCCAAACCCAAGTAAGCATAACTGAGAAATAGCAAACTCCAATCTTCACAAGTCGTGGGAAGTGGATTGATCTCAACAGCATGCCAAAGATTTCTACCATGACTCGGTTTCAAACATC